AAACAAACAAGTCTGTTTACCGAAAAAGGCCGCCATAATGGCCAGAATAATGGAAAACATATTTTGTAGATGGTTTTTTCTGCACTATTTTCTTTTAGTTCGGGCTTGTAACCCACAACAAATTAACACTATAAAATTTTTCTCTGTATTCTATGATTTGCAAAGGAGGTTATATCTAACCTCCATGGTTCTACATATTATTGCATTTCGAAAGTATTTTGTATGAAAGAGGAGCAGTCAAGATTTTATAACCTAGCCTATACTAAGCTTCAGAAGTGGATAGAAAGAGTAGAAATTAGCCAAATACAGGGTACTAAAATAGACAGATAACATGCCAGGAGAGTTGGTCCACTGAAGTGGTAAGTGTTAAGCACCCAAGGTCAAATTTCTGGTCATTTCTATATGTTGAATCAACCCTATCTCATCGCAAAAATGCAATGTCGCTGACGGAAAATGGTTGCTTGTTCGTATCATAGGCTGGTTCTAGATATTTATTGGTGGTACCCAAAAATAGAACGGTCATACGTGGCTTGCTTTTGGGCTATTTCTATTGCTTCAAGTATGAAACGATGACGAAAATGTGCTAAGAAATTGCTTTAAACGTCGATATCAGACAAATTTCCTCAACAGGATATTTTTCCCGCCCTGAAATTGTATTGGATACCAGTTTCTACTCTTTCCAGCCGCTTCTGGAGCCTGATAGAGGCTAACTTCTGTGAACTCTACTACAGCAACAGATGGCTGCGTTTAATAGAGAACCACAGTGTGATGGAGAACAGAGCTTTCAATCGTCAACAACAACAAAACACTGAAAACTGAGAATGTTGTGGTGCGGGGCAACAAAAGGCGGCGAAACACAAGTCGGCACGGTCTTTTGTGACGTCAAAACGTCACCGCCTTTTCTGTGTGGACATGTGAAAAGGCCCGGAGACCAGTAGCTGGGGTCGTGTTAGGTGAAAGTCTGCTCGGGCCCTTGTGAACTATGACACCGTAGACAGTTGACAGCCGCACGGTTTGCATGCCTGTCACATACATGTATACAGTAGTGTATATAAACACGCCAAGCCTGTGCCTATCTGACCTGCAGCGCGTCGAGGCGAAATACGGCTAGTATCATCAAGAGGGTTATAACCTCCTTATAGTATCAACATGTTGAAAGGTTATATACAATAGCTGATTTTAATCTCCAAACATATGTAAAGATCCGGCTTAGTGTCTACTCTCCAAGCAGAGGTTTGGGGTTTGGCTTATTTTTGGCTTTTTTTAAATCGGGCTTTATTTTTGGACTCATCTTTTATAACGCCAACCAGATACCAGGGCAAAAAAGAAATCCCGTTAACAAGCCTAGAAACACGCCCAAAATAAGCCAAAACCCAAACCTCTGCTTGAAGAGTATTGTTTTTGGCACACAGAAGGCAAGAAATTTAAAAATAAGGGTGTACTAGTAGAAAGATCATAGACTGGTTACCAAACCTATTTTAGCTCCTGAGTCTTCAAAATCCTCTCCGCAAAATTTTAGCTAGAATGATCACGATTCGAAATGTTGCAAAACAGCGGTAAAACATAAAGCCGGATCCCTGATGTTTATACATGTAGATGAGATTTTCTAATCTTAGCCACCATACCATACTTACTGACTCAGTGATATTTTGACTAACCACATGTATTATTTGCTGTTTTCCGATATCGATGATAGTTCTGAACCCGGTTTTATTTTAGTAATCCTTGGCCTGGGCTCATATTCTTTCCTATCTTAATCATTTAAAATATACTAGTAAGCCATCCGATGATCCGTATAGTAGTATGCAATCCGTAAGCTTGCAAACGTTAACATGCTATGGGAGCTTGATTTCATGTATTTCATTTTATGTACATTTGTTCTCTTCTTTTTTTTTTTTATTTTTTATTAGAAGAAGTTTATTGCAAATTCATGCCCGGTGGGGCTAATTGCAGATTACAAGCATAAAAGAACAATGAAATGAAACAATAAAATTTCTCACGTTGCAGTCATATTTTAAAGAAAGAAAAAGTTTTCTCTAGAAATCTAGCTGTCAAGTGAGAGCTTCTCATGTATTTCATTTTATGTACATGTGTTCTCTTCTTTTTTTTATTCTCTCCTTTCAGTCATTTTTTTATAAAGAAAAAGTTTTGTATATAAGACTGACTGATATATATATGTTCTCTTCTTTTTTTTATTCTCTACTTTCAGTCATTGTTTTTAATAAAGAAAAAGTTTTGTCTATAGAAATCTAGCTGTCAAGTGAGAGCTGTTTTAAATTCAGCCGGCAGAGCGATATCCCCGGATATCTACGTCACGCAGTCCGCTAATAGCCCTGGAAATTTTACGCAATTTCACGCGAGTTTCATGCAACGTTGTGCAATTTCGCGCCCTTGCAGACGATATTTTCGTGCGAAGGCGGAATACTAGTACGCAAAGTTCTGAATCTCGGCGAAAAGGCTAGGCCAGCCAATGCAATATTTCAGTTCGGCAAAACAGAAATATTGTAGATGAGGAAATCTGTCTGATATTGACATTTACTGCCATTTCTTAGTACATTTTTGTCATCAACTCATACTTGAAGCGCTTAAATTGACCCTAAAAGTAAAACAAGTTACTAGTACATGAGGAGTCGACTAGCCTCTTTTCTTGGGGGGGGGGCGTCCCTAGATTGCCAGAACCAGCTTATAAAACAAAACAGGCAACCGTTTCGTTTTCTGTCAATGACATCACATTTTTGCCTCATATCACTTTTTTGCCTCATACTAGTCACAGATATCAGTAAGCTATATGTATGTATGTGATATAGATGATTCAACTTACTACACATTAAAAGGAAATTCCCTTTGTTTCAAAATCCAGTTTTGCTGCCCTGAAATTGCATGGGATGCCTTTAGCTCAAAGCTTTTGACGGGGTCACAAATTGGAGCTTCTATGGCCCTGGATCTTCTCTGGTATACTATCCCTTTATTTCAGCAAATTTCTACTATTTTTCCAGCGATCCGCGGTGCCTGGTAGAGGCTAATTTTGTTGCAGATAAAAAAGACGGCTCACCACAAAAGAGGGCGGTTTAGCACAATGCGGCCTTGACCACACAAGAGTGCTTGAAATTTTTCGCACCGATGGTGACGTCAGAGTGAACTGTGTGGTGTTGGTGTCCCGTATCAAGGACAGTCAGCAAAACTAGTCTCTCCACCAGACGTTTGGGAGGCAAAAAAGATCCGCGAATAGTCTTCTATCAGACTTTTGGGAGTGAAAGGCAGCCGACTTTGATTCGTGTTCACTTGAAGGATGACAACAGAACGATATTCGCGTTTTTAATACTACTAGTTTTTTATAGTTTATTTAAAGATCGATTAATGTGCCATCCATTTTCCCGCCATTTTTAGTCTGTACTTCATTTGGGAAAAATATGTTGACTAGGATATATTGACACTAAGACCACCCTTGAACCCATACTCTCTCATATACATTTCACAGAATCATTCTTTTAATGATTATGAATAAATATACGTATAAGAGCCCTCATTTACATTAGACTGTAAGACAAGCACCATACATATATCATCTGAGGTGCAGGCATTTAGTTAATCTCCAAGCAGATCCCTCTCGGTGGCAAAAAAGACAGTATCAAATTGGCCAGGCAGTATCCATTAGCCAGAGAAGCTCCGCGGCCACCGACGGAGGGGATCAGGAAAAAAAAACAACGGCCATATATAAAAAGGTAACGATCATTCCCCACAACCTCTGCTTGGAGAGTAGCATTTAGTATTCTCATCGTAAGACAGGTTTAAAGTTGGTCGCTGCCTCACCATCCGTGATTAAACACTTTTCAGTTCAACTTTGGCAAGTAAATCCCTCATAAGTCATATACAATCGTCTTCAATCCCGCAAAATGTACAGTTTCTCTTACCAGAAAACGAGGGTGGAAAAAATCACTGACGATGTCCCAATCGCATTTTGAATCTCCAAGCAGAGGTGTATGCTGCAGTTTATTTTTTACGTGTTTTTTTGTGTGATGTATCGCGATTTCTTTTTTTTTTAAGCAAACAAAATTTGGGTGGCAAATGGTAAGGTAGCTGTCTCGAAAATAGATACAGCCTAGCCAATTTGAGCTATCTTTGCCAAAGCGTTTTGCCACCAAAAAATCTGCTTGGAGATATTGAAAGGTACCTTGCAGTAAATTATAAAAAATCATCGGGAATTTTTCTTTGGATTTAATAAACTGATCTTATATTCTTATTATGACCATTGATCAACTACGATCAGTTACTAAAAAGCTTAGAGTTGGAGGAATAAAATTCTACCAGCTGGTTTTGGTGACTTTTGTTCCAGCGATTTATTCCCAGTATGCAGCGCGGGAAACTAGTTTGTGAGTGTTGATACAAGGCTCCATAGCTACCATAACAATGCGTTTGTTTGCATGGTGACATATTGGACAAATTTTGAGTGAAAAGTTTTCACACAAATATGGAAGAAATAATGATGGTAAAACACTTAAGTAAGTCCCTTGCTGCTTGGAATTGACGATGATAGCTCTTTTTCTGTAAGCACTCCCAATTTCTTGTTGTAGTCCATGCTTTCTATTCTCTGTGCAAGAGTCATTTAGAAAAGTTTTGTTATCAACAGTTGAATGAAGCAGTCGTATTCCTAAATGGACAAGTTTTATTGAAATATCCTTAGTTATAAGCTGTTAAAGTTTTGTCATAAATATTTATTCATTCATGAAAAGTTTATGCAAAGTATTTAAATCATGGGAGCTTTCTTTGAGAATGCCTATTCCTACAATTTTTCCATTCTTTATTTCGCCTTCTTGCTCCACTGGTTTTCTATTAAAACTTAACCAAGAAATTTATTATATAAATTATTGTGACCTAAAATTGATTTCTTTGTTCTTGCAAGGACGTTCAACGTCCTTGGTTCTTGACACTTGATCATGATTCGCTATTGAAGTGTAGTGACGTGCACCTGTGTCCTAATCAGGTAGAGCTGTTGGGCAGCTAGGGAGTCCTGTACTTCAGAAGTATCATGGCGGTCGGGTGAGAAGGAGTGTCAGTGTTTCTGTGCGGACTTTACTTCTGTCGTCTGACAGCGTTCTCCCATGGAGTTTGCCTCCTCCCGAGAGACCAGATCGTCTTCCTCCTACAACAACGGCTACGTGCCGGCATTAGTACGGCCGCTGGAGCCGGGGAGGGAGGGTAGCAGGCTCGCCCTGCTGCTGCCGTCCCCCGAGTTGGGGATGTTGCCCCGATGGGGCTGGGGGCTGGCGCTCGGCGCCCTGCTCGCGTCGCTGTGGTGCGAGTCGCCGTGGCAGCTCGCTCGGGGCCTCGTGGCCGTGCTCCTACCGCTCTGCAGCGTGACATGGGCCTTCTGCGGGCTCGCCTTCTACTATCGCCGGGCCTGGAGAGACTCCAATGTCTACCTGATGTTCGGTGGGCTCTGCTTGGTCGAGTTTTTCGTACAGGTGAGTTGTTGTACCACTGGAGGCTTCGATTTTTTCCCCACAGCCTGTCGTTTGATATTTTTCCTCAGTCTTTTGATCGTCCAACATAATTTTTTCCTCAACCTGTCGTCTGCTGTTGTTTTCCTCAGCTTGTCGTCTGACACTTTTTCCTCAGCTTGTCGTCTGACATTTTTTTCCTCAGTTCGTGCGTCTGACATTTTTTTCCTCAGCCTGTCGTTTGACTTACCCTTTTCCCTCAGCTTGTCGTCTGACTTGCCCTTTTTCCTCAGCCTGTCGTCTGACATACCTTTTCCTCTCAGCCGAAACGTTCCAGTTGGTCTCAGAACAACTTGCACTATCAAAACAGTTACCCGAGCCGTGTCCCAGGCGCCTGCACTACTCTACAAAAGCCGCTCTCTTCTAACGTTCACTCCACAAAATATCACAAAGAATCGTCCTTAAGTTTTGACAAATCAGTAGCTTTTGTTATTTTGGCATTCCGATCGCACGTACCAAGTTGGTAGCACGGTAAAAGGACCACACAAAGAGATTTTGAAAGTAAAAAAAAAATCACGGAAATATTCATCCTAACAAATGCTCAAAACTTACCCAACCTTAATGATCATTTATCAGCGTTAACATGATTGTTATCATTAAGGGTGTCACAATCTGGTTGTAAATACAGGCTACAACAGCACCAAACACTTTTCTGAAAGTTGATAAATGATCTCTGCATTGCAATTTCCTTAAAAACAGTAATTTCTTGCTCAGTGCTGTCAGAAATGGACAAGGCTAGTGTATATAGTCGTTGTAGGAGGTTAAGTTGAATGAAGCGTATCCTTGCCTTAAGGCTAGAAAACTCTATGGCAGGCTGGCATAGTCTAACATCAATAAACATTGTTGGATTTATGTACTAGTATTTCCCCTGAAGGCAGAATACTTTGCATTATACCATACAAACACAGTGGGTCAAGAGTAAAAGACCAAAATGTAGTAAGAGGTTACAAGGTTGCACGATCCTATGTTTCCATAAACTAAACGTTGGTTGTAGGGTTGTGTTTTTCTGTAAAAAATGCCATACAAAATTGAATGATGCCGTAAAATTCACAAAAACAATTTGAAAGCATTTCATGGTTTATGTTCGTGGTTATGTTTTACGGTTGTGGCTTATCATGTTTTGTATTGTTAAAAAATGACGTATCGCAGAATTCAATATACTGTAGACAGAAAAAAAAATTTGTGCTCACATTATTTCAAGAAGGTTGAATAATTGTGCATGCACCTGATTGCATATGATTACCGTAATTCTGAGAATTTTTCAAAGCAAAAATTTCGGATGACATCCAATTCATACCGAACTAAAGATGTTTTAGAATAATGAGTTCGTTAAAGTTAAACCTAGCTGCCAAAAATTGTGTAAGTATGTAAGTACTGTATAATCAAGCATATAATGAGGTTCTGAAAATGTGTCTAAGTACGGTAAAGAAAACATGTCCAAGCTGACTTAAAGGTCACTCTTAGCTCATGTGTGAATCTTCGGAAATGGTTTTTAGTTAATCGTATTACAGGATAAGAATCACAAATACTACTAAACTGTTGCACTGTTTGCCTTCGGTAATTGAAATCTTGGCATATTTTGCGACTTATTGTACGAGCGGGGGAAAAGAGGTTGAGATACCATCAGCAAGTGCACAGTGATATATGATAATAGCACTTCCCTGTCTCGGCCTACTTTCAAGAATTGAAATTTATACCCTAGGTCAGCGTTTTTGGGTGCAGGAATCGCTTGTCCCACTGTCGGCTTGCACAGGAATCCGCGTTGATGGATAACGTCAAATTGGCGTAACCGTTGCCGGCTTGCGACGCACCTTGTTTGACGTACATGCCATATCCATAGTAAAATGTGTTCTCTACCTCCTAGTCTTGTCGTAAATTACCAGTAGTTCATCAGCTATGCATACAGCTGTATGAGGAGACAAAGAGGTCTAGAGTGAACTGTTTATTTGTATGTTACCCCAAAATTCCCTCTTGTAGAAACTGAATTGCAATGAATTTTCATCTTTCTATCCTTCCGTATGGTGGATATATGTCATATTGTGTACACTTTTTGATGTAGAAATGTCATATTTGGAATTGGAAATTTGGATACAACATGACAGAAAAAAAGACAAAATCACAGCATAGCCAGAACTGGAATTTGACTTATTTGTACAAAAATGTGCCATTTTTTCAAAAGGGTTTTTTTCAGCTGGTACTTTGGCTCACTGAAATATCCGTTTGGCTACCAAGTCTCTTTTAGTTTTAGTCAAGGAGTTAGGAAGCAGAGATTTAGGAAAAATAGTTGAAAACAACTTGTTATATTTCAGTTGATTGTGTTAACTCCATAACCACCTGTTACATTCCAAGTGATACCATCACAACACTTGTTGACCTTTGGTACGTTCAAGTATCTATAAAACAAGGTGTGAAGGCTGCGCAAGGTAAACAAGTTGTCAAGCACTAGATTACAGGTGTGTTAGTGAAAGTATGTCTTGAAAATACTCTCCCTGTTACAACTAGGAAGAAACCTAAGAAAAACTTTGTCTTTGCTGGCTACATTTTTTTACGATGTATATTGTTTTTCTTGTCCAAAAAGGAAAGTAAGTAGTCTAGTTTGCTTAGCCTTCTTTACAATTATGTATAGAAAATTTGTTTTACATACATTTTGCAGTTCAAGTAACAAGATAAGTCTGTTGTCTTACATGTTTTATTACATCAAGCCTTATCTGTATTTACTGATGATATTGACTAAAGTACATTGTTGGTTTGTTGTACACAGGTAACCTTAGGCGAAACAATAGGTCTTCACCTCTTCATGTGGACGCTTGTAGCGTTTCTGGGACTCACGGTGCTGTTTCCGATAGTACGGAACACGCAGTACACCTCCGTCGGACTGAGCCTGGTCGGCCTGAGAGTTATCATCGGGCTAAGCCCGGACTCGCTGCCCGGTTTTGTGCGCCCGTTTCTCGGGTACGTGTGTTGCCTGTGTGGCTACGTCCTCTCCTGCTACCTCGAAACTGTGATGAAATCGTCCATGCAGTTTAGCGCTGCCGACCCGCGGATTTCCGTGATGAGGCGACGGCGTAGCAGCCAACCGCCGCCGCCGAGCAGCCACCACAGGCACCGAAGAACGTCGCTACCCGCGTTGTCCCAACGAAACCAGGTATGCCGGTCTCTTTCACTCTGTTGAGCACGGTTAGTGTTATTGTGTATAAGTGTCCCAAAATAAATACCTGCACTTAAAGAGTTAAAAGGGCAACTGAAGTATTTGCACTTTGTTTTCTACCCTTTCTTGCTACATTTACCCAACATCAGACTATTACATACCTCAAGGTTCTTACTTTAGAAGGTACAAACACACAACTGATTGTCACACAGGCCTGTGATTTATCATATATCTGTTTAGAACACATGAAAAAGACACCAATCATCTATAGCCTTGGCTATTGATAGCACTAGAATTGATATCCCACTGTTTAGCAAAGCATAGGTTTACATGTCTTATACTATATATAGGTATGTATATATATACATTATTTGAGGTAAAAATATATAGACAGTCAACAAGTGGATCCTGTTGGGCTAGCTATTAATCTTATTCTGAGCATTATGTTCAAGCGTTATAACTATACCAGGTCCTACGTATACAGTAGTTGGTATTACTGGTTTATGTAACATAATACACTGTTGTTTTTCATTGACTATTATAATTATACTTGAAGGCAATATTCTACAGTATATATAAATATATGTATGCAAGAACGAAAGAACGTTTGAAAGAACGTTTTTTCACAAGCTGATGTTTTAACTGTGGCATCGTCCAAGGAATGCTATTTGATTACGTGGTAGCGGGAATCAAAAACTGGAAGTATGATTAGATTTTATAAGGTTCAGTGGTCGATAATATCATAAAGGCATATGTTTTCTACAAATGTTTGCTGACAGGGCTGGAAATACAGGGTGTATATGCACCTTAGTGCAGATAAAAGTGGAGCTGTGCAGGTATTTCTGATGTCTACCTGCACCTAACCTGAACTGGTCCATGTAGTACTGGGTTTGTATATGCATGTAGGTGTATGTGGATTTTATTTGCTGTATTGACTGTTACACCTATGTAGTATAAAAGAAATAATTTTTGTTTGAACAGTTCTTAGTATGATCCGTAAATCTGAGTAGTGCAGGTAAAACTTGTCTGGTGCAGGTTATTTTCAATATTACATGTACCTACACCTGTGCAGGTATGCAGAAAAAGTATCTCGAATCCTGAGTTGAATAATACTTATGAATTAAGGTTAAATATAATCAGGAAATGGCTTATTTTGATCATTGTCATTGTCACAAGCACTTCAAACTCAATTTACCGAAGGACCAGTTAACTGGATTTTCCCACGTACAATTAGTCAAACTTAATTTAAGGCACGTTATACTTATAGGAAAGGATGATCTGACTACCCCCTGCTGAGCGATAGCCATCAGCACAAAATACTGTACTTCCCGATTTTTTCACGCTACTTTAATGTTCACAGTTTTCACGGTCACTTCTGTACTGTGAATTTATCATTATCAAATCATTTTTCTTTTTAATGACAAATGTTATGCTTCCTACTCTCTGGCAAAGATTAAGTTTCCTGAACACGCCGATTTTCTTAAGATCGTGTAATTTTGCACGGGAAGACAAGCGAATTACAGTAACGCTATCGCTATCATCTAAACAAGTTCTTTATCACGCAGCACGTGAAATCAACAGTCTGTCAACTCTCCTTCTTTGAACATTCTCTCTTTTGTTACAAGAATTAGTGGTTCGTATTTAATTGGATGGACCCTGTTGCGTTTGTCGCCTTGCGTTTAAACACTAGCAAACACGTTGTTTTGAACAACATTTTATAGTAGTTCCGCATATATTTGCTTCATTGGAAACCACTACAGGCTACTTATAGTTATACATGTACTATCTGTACCTCTATTGTTACGTTTAGAATAAAGAGATTTACGTAGCCAAGTATTTTACTTTTATTCAGCCAACATTTTGGTGACGTTCTGTTACCTTCCTGACGGCAATTCTGACTACCGCTGTAAACAATTTGGCCCATCTTGCATTAAACTTATCTTCAGAAATAAATCATAAGCTCAAAATGTAGTTAGTGTTGGAAGTTGAAGCTTAGTCTCTATTTCATAATGACTTGTACCAACACAGATGAACTTTCATGCTAAATAATACATAAGCTCCTTTTACAACATATATTTAGAGTCACTGTGCATTAATGTATTTTCTGTAAGCTTGCTTGGACAAGGCAAAATCTCAGTGGTGTAACTAATTTGCGAAGTTGGGACTCTAATCTATTATGCACACATACATGCTTTATACTGACTGTAGCCTGTTAGTTTTGCCTGGTCATTAAAGTATTATGTCAACTTTTAGAAGCTCGGAAGGTAAAATTGATTGAACCTAAACAGGACCTGAAATGAATTTCTAAACCCTAGATTTGTCCCATGTTTGTTTTTTCTGCCATTTTGCAAAAATGTAGGATTTATCATTAAGCATATTTTGAATGCAAAGCATAGAAATTAACAGTCATTTTTCTTCTTTATATCTGAATATCAGTGAATTTAGGGATATTATTTAATGAATGATAAAACTGTGTCTGTAAAAGATGGACCATACCAAAACTGGAAAGGGGAAGCAGTTTTGATCCTTCAACAAATAAGGTGTGGAAAAGCCAACAGGTGTCGTCATTATTGGAAGCAGGTTAAAAAGACATTTGTATATGGCTTGCAGACTTTTCTTCAAGAAAATGGACAAGAATGTCCATTTTATACATTTCAATGCTGAAACTACATGGTACAAGACGTGTATTTTGCAAACTTACGGTTCATTCTGTTAGGTTTAAATTATATGAACTGCACTGATATATGGACTTTGGTTAAGCCTTTACTTGAGTTCAACATAATGTGTTTGCAAATGCCTTTGACAAATTGTAGAATAAAAGTTTAAAGAAAGCGAAATGGCAAATTGTCAGGAATTATACACATCCCTATGCATGCATATTTGTGAAGGTGTCTGTAACTGTAATAGTGTGTTTGGTAGCTTATGTGACCCTAGCCCCACTCCATGTAAAGTGTTTGTAATACCGTGTTAGGTGAACAATACGAGATGTCCAGTGCATTATATTGACCTGGACAGGTAAATGCCCCCGGGGTTTGCTCCTCTGGTATATTAACTCCCCACTCAAAGTAATCTGTTTGGACATTTGAAACTACTCGTGGGGACTAGTGTGTATGCATTTAGAAGTGACTTGCTGATATACATAAACATTGCTGTTTTAACACAATTTGCTTCTAAAAATGTACATTACAATTGGAAATAGAAATTTTGTGACATTTGTTTACTTTATTTTTCCCTCAGCATAGGTTCTAAAATTTGACAGCTTCATGTTTAAATTTCTGTTCTGAAAAAATAATCACGTGTGTCATTAAGAATAATTCTGGGCACAATGATAATAATTTGGAAGTATATTTGTTGGAATGGTGAATTCCTTGTCCTTAAATAGCCCCCAGAATGAAAGATTTTGTTACCCGACTTTGAAATATTCCAACACTGCGGGAAAGATGGAGAGTTTCCTGTGCCGAATCGTCGGGAGGGTCAGAAATCCGACCCCGGTAAAGTTAGAGCACACTTTGACATTTGGTGTGCGTCCCTAATGTACAGTGTATACACACACTCTTCACCTCTCATGCCATCCATGGTCAGACTGGTAGACTCAGTTACTCCAAACGGGCAAGTCTAAAGCAACATCTTGTTTCCAGCCTTACAAAATAGTGTATCTTATACACAGACATATATAGGGAGGTGAAATATGCCAGGTGCCTTATAAGCTACTAGTATATGGTGACCTCTGACCCGTTAAAAATGTCAGTAATTGCCGGAGCGACGGCAGCCGGACATTAACGGAAGAAGAAGAAGCTAGTCAGTTACTTCTCGGTCTGGGAGTATTGTTTTGGGTGGCTGAATCATAGATTTATACCTGTGTGTGTCCTAATAGCTGTGGTTACAGGTGGTAGGTGGGAGGGGATTTTGACAGTTGATTGCCTGGAGGAATTCAGGAAGTGGTTTAATACCTGATTGAATTACATCTACTGAAGCCGCGTGGTTAAATCCTTTCTAACAATTGGAAGCATACAAGTTCGCGTAACTAAGTACAAGTTTATTTCTACGTTCTTGAACTTGAAGTTGCTTGATTTATCATTGCTATATTATACAATGTTACCTCTATCTGTACCAATCAATCAATCAATCAATCAAATAAAAATGGTTTATTGCTAAAATCAAGAACATTGCAGCATAAAGCTGAATTACGTTCAAAGATGCACATCCTGTTTTAAAAACATTAACCACTGCACAATCTTGGAGTCAAGATGTGGTCATAGAATTACACATTAAAAATATTTACATGATATTACATACATTTAGCATAGTAAAATTCAAATTTTGATCATTCACATTAGTACTGTACATTTCAACATTACATTAAACTATTTCATATACAAATTGCACAAGAGAGGCATTTACAGAGTTAAGAGCAGTACCAAAAAGTCAACGTAAATCCCTAAGTTTCCCAGTACAATACATAACAGATGACTTTGACCAAGGAAAGAAGTCTTTGACGGAGAAAACATGCTAAAAGAATCCCTCCTGGTAGTAATCAAATCTAGTGGGAAGGAAAGGCCTTGAATAGTACCTAAGTGTACAGTTGCAGTGGTTAAAGAAATGTTACTACTTTTAGTAAGCCTTGACTCGGTGACTATGCATTCATGGCTCTATTTTAATGGCCATGGATTTGCTAACAACATGCTTTTAGCAGTTAACTTTTACTGTTCTTAAGTCCCGTCATAAATAGACGATCATAAAGTACAAAACATTAATACAAATACGGCATTACCTGGAACTATGCTACATTTAGATTAAGAATAAGCTTGGTTGTATTCGTATTTATAGAACAGAAAATGAAAATGTCTATCAAGGAGAAGACACAATTGCATAGGGTTTAACTGAAGGGCTAGAATTTTGAAAGGTTTCTAATTTTATTGTGTTGATGTAACGACTATCAAAGCAGTACTACTAGGTACATAGTTTTGTACCATTGTACTTAGCAAAAGAAGTTTGCC